GTGGCAGGCAGCTGCAGACGTTCATGAGTACAGGGAATGAAAACATCTAGACAGTAGTGATAAATGACACCTTTTAGAAGGGTAAATGCTTGGGGTATGGCCAAAAGTCACATTTTCTATTTCAAAACGTATATCCGTGTAATAATCAAAAAAAAAACTTTCCTCCTTATCCTATATCCTTTTGATTCTTTTCCTTCTCATTTTATGTTTATCTTGCAAGCCCTTTTAATCCTTTTGTAGATTTTGAACGGTTGCATAAAAAAGCAGTGCCCGAAGCAAATCCTTATCGTGGCGGATGCCTTCCTTGCTGGAAAGCGTTAAAACTTTCGTGCTTCTTATATTTCAAGTATTGGTTGAGCTTTTTTGACCCTCTGAATTTGTGTTTTCAACCACTTTTAATTTGCGAAACCAAAATCACAGAATGAAAAAAGCATTATCTTGCAGAGGGAAATTTTCACTTTTACGAACGATATTTTGCCAATGTTTTTAGTATTTGAAAAAATTTTTTGAAAAGAAAACGCACAAAAATGAGTAACGGATAGCTTATCTCGACTTATCTTACCCCTCATTCTTCATTCATTCCCGACAGTTAATTACAATACATGCGAAAAAAAGATGGTGTTGATCACATAGCTTCGCTCTCAGCAGTGGGACGGCATACGTATGTCGAGTCTCGCGGTCATTGTTAAAGGTCATTAGCTATTCTTAATTACTACTTACTTAAATACTTAGATGGCCTATCTTCACCTGTCGTGCAGGCCACAACACTGTTTCCATCCGTTTCTGTTTCTTGCTAGTGTCATCCACGATTTTGCTGTTGAACTGCGGCGGCAACATTCGCGAGGTCCACATCCACTACTCGCTACCAGCTGAGAATACAGCTGGTCCATCCGTGCAACGAACACTTCAGCCCGTCTGGTCGATGGCTTCCCTCGAGGACGTTTTGCTTCGCGAGGAATCCATTCCAGAGTTCTTAGTGTCCATCTGTCGTCTGTCCTTCTCATCATATGAGCGCATCGATGCTTTGCCTTAGAGACGTATTCCGCTGGATCGCGAAGATGAGACATTGATCTTATATCTGAACAGCAAAGTCCGACAAGATGTTGGGTACGTCGGTTGTACTTCAGAAGACGTCGTTCCAGCGCTCTGTGGGTTGTTCGAAG